TTTCTGGCTGCACTCATCAAGTTTTGCAGGACAACTGAAGACACGAGGCGGCAGATGAGTGAGGGGAGGCCAAGGAAAGAGCTGCCACCACTACCTTACTGCAGTGCGTTCAAGCGCTGCCATTTCCTACCACATACTCAACACTTGCTTATGCAAATATTTTCAGAGGAATTGTTTTATAAGTATTCAGTATAATGTGGACTTCTGAAGAAACCTCCATATAGCATCTGAAAACGAAGTCAAGATAATTCCGACATTGAATACTGGCTTACTTAGGCTTTGAAGACAAACGTCATTTTTTTTTTTTTTTGGTTGGTTGGTTTGCTTTATGTTTTTCAAGACAGGGTTTCTCTCTCTGTGTAGCCCTGGCTGTCCTGGAACTAGCAAAGTTGACCAGGCTGGCCTCCAACTCAGAGATCCACCTACCTCTGAGCAAATCAAACAAATAAACAAATCAAACAAACAAACAAATCCCCCCCAAACAAAACAAAACAAAAAAGAAACTAAATGCCCTTTGTGTGTGTGTGGGGGGGGCAGGGGAGGTGGCACAGGCCTTTAATTCCAGCACTCAGGTGGTAGAGGTGGGTGGATCTCTGAGAGTTGGGGCCAGTCTGGTCTACAGAACTTCCAGGAGAGCCAAGGCTACACAAAGAAACCCTGTGTCGACAAACAAAAACCGAAATACAACAAAAGAAACTAAGCTCACCCAACTGTGGTGGCACACGCCTTTAATCCCAGCACTTGGGAGGCAGAAGAAGGTGGTCTACAGCCTGGTCTATAAGAGCTAGTTCCAGGTCAGGCTCCAAAGCAACAGAGAAATCTTGTCTCAAAAAAACAAAACAAAACAAAAACAAAACAAACAAAAACAAAACAAACTAACTAACTAAGCTCAACAAACCAAAAAGAAATTCCAGCAGGGCAGTGGTGGCGCACGCCTTTAATCCCTGCACTTGGACGCAGAGGCAGGTGGATCTCTGTGCGTTCAAGGCCAGCCTGGTCTACAAGAGCTAGTTCCAGGACAGATAGAACTGTTACACAAAGAAACCCTGTCTTGAAAAAAACAAAACAAAACAAAACTCCTCCGAACCCATATATGTTATGGCAGGTAACTTGTGCGAACCTTAGAAAATGAAAGCCCTCAGATCCAATACAACAAACGTTCTATGAAAGCCAGAACCGTATAGTTGTTTATGCTATAAATATCACTCAATGATCTTTTACTTCAAGAACAGAATGCACCAGATGCAGAGTAAGTGGGCCCTAAGCCAGATGAACTGGCAGAATGGTCAACAGGAGAAAGCTGAAGCGAAAAGGTTAGCCACATGGCCATCCTACCACGCAGCAAGAAGGAATAGTAGTCCACCTGATAACAGTCCTTTGGGCTCTAGTTCTGTGAAGTCTGCACTTTTTTAGTCTATTGCCTTTGTTTTCCCCTTCATGTAGCCAAGAATTTGCATTTTCCCTTTCTTCTCTTATTTCTCCTAAGCTTGCTTACAACTCACCTGATGGTCGGTTACCATAATCCTTTGTTTAGAAAACCTCTTTTCCACTTAAAGCCTCCTGCCCCTAAATACCAGCCCTTCTTATTTGGTGTGTGTGCCTGGGGGGGGGGGGGGGTAAAGAGAGAGGAGAGGGGGGAGAGGGAGAGAGGGAGGGAGGGAGGGACGGAGGGAGGGAGGGAGTTTATTTTATGTGCATCCACTTTCCAGCCTGGAGCCCCTGACGGCCAGAAGAGGGCACTGGATGAATTGGAACTGGAATTACAACCAACTGTGAGCCACCACGGGGGTGCTAGGAACCCAACCTGGGTCCTCTGCATGAACAAGTGCTCTTAATTGCTAAGACACCTCTTCAGTCCTCTCTGAGCAATTTCTTGAAGCCAAAGTCATTGTGCTCCATTAAAAAAAGGAAAGAAGAAATAAGCATAGGGTGGGGGGTGGGGGGGGGAGGAAGGAAGGAGAAAACCTTTCAAGCCCAAGGCAGGCAATGAATCACCTACCAACACACACCCCACCAGCTAGCTGCTTATCCAAGTGTCTTTCTGAGAAATGACTGTATCCTTTTTCCTCCTGGTGTATATGCTTTCCCCACACAATTTTTCCCTTCATAAATCCTAAATCAGATTTACCCTATAATTTTGAGCTGTAAATTCTGTTTTCCAAGACAAAGCAATTTGACAAAGTAACTATGGACAGAAATGAGCTTACTTGGAATAACATACTTACATGTGACTAACCCCCTACATGTAGGTTACTAGGAAATAGAGACGGAAGGGAGCAACGTTGCAAATACTTCATAAAGATGATTTTTCATCCTTGTAACAAGAGGAGAGCAGTTGAGAACAGGCACTGATTATTCCTATTTACATATCACAAAACTGAAATAAAAGAGAGACCTACTGGTTGTTTCGAACCCGGGGGAAAAAAGGCCGAGGTACCCATTTAACACATCAAATCAGACTTGGCCACCTGGTTTTCCCTGAATCCCTACCTGTTGAGGGTCCTCCTGGCTGGCATACCCTGCCCCCCACCGCGAACGCTCCAACCATTTAGTTCCTTTGTGTCTTTGGGCCTCCTGGATGCTGCACCTGGTACCCTTGCTCTCCCCATTTCTTCCTCTCCCTCTACCCCCACAAGGCCCAGCTCTCCACATACCTACAATAAACCTCTCCTCCACCAGACCTGGGAGCAGCTAAGCAGCCATGTCTTTTTCTTTCTCTTTCTTGCTTTCTTTCTCCTTCATTCAGTGCTTCATGAGGGTGCATGTCTGTAACCCCAGCACTCAGAAAGTGAAAGCAGGAAGGCTAGGGTTCAAGGCCGGCTTCAGCAGCATCACAAACAAAAATCTTAGTGAGCTGGAATACACCCTGGATAGGATCTCTGTTAGTCCAAGGCCAGTCAGGTCTACACATCGAGCTCCTGGCCAGTAAGGGATACATAGTGAGGCGCCCATCGCAAAACAAAACAAAACAAAACAAGGGGGGAGGGGTCAGCAATTGTCCTAAGGTATATGACTGACAGGTGTGACTCCAGCTTGACTCTTCAAATCAAGGACAGCCGCTACTATATGTCCCATGTGTTTCTGTCGACGGCCAAGGAGCAACTTCCTAGAAAGCAGAATTTTGAAGGATGCATCTTTGACTTTTGAGACATGATTTCCTGACCAACAAACTGTAAAGCTACCTTCAATCTGCCCAAAAGAGAGCAATGCCTTTCTCTTCTCCCATGCACCACTTTCAATAACTACTTCTTTCCAGCTGTTCTGTTTCCAAAGGACTTACTCAGAGCATTCGCAGTCCAGGAAGTTTGCACCAGTGTATGCTTTTTCTCAATAAAGTTTAGGGCTGATGCAACATTTTTCAGTCTCACACTAAGATGACAAGAACACAGAATAGTCAAAAATTACGCAAGACAATGATACTTTTTTTTTTTATTCCACATCTGCCTGTCTTGGTCTCCTGTGAGTCACTGTCTTTCCTGTTCAGTCATCGTTATAAAAACTGCTAATTTTTTTTTGCCCTAAAATTCTTGCTTTGTGCTTGTTTTAATGAAAAGCTCCGCATAACGATGGGATCCCATTACATCTCTCAGCACCTCACTTGAGCACTGACCTCTGCAGGCAGCCCAGAAGCCTCATTCTGATTTTCACAATCTCGCTTTACACAAACAGGAAAAGGGGCACAATGAGACTACAATTCATTTACTTACCCATCAAACAGACACAAGTGAAATACTATCAGACTGAGACCCAAAAGTGAACGGGAATTGTCTCCCCTGTTACAGTGTGGCAGAGAGGAAAGGACACGGTTATAGTGGTGTCTATCTTGGGGAAACAGCTAGGAAGGAAGGTTTTCTAGAGGAAGTAGTCTCTAAGCACCTATCACATCCATCTCTTCAGTACTAGACCTAAACAACTCATCACGTTCTCTAAGAGATTATAAGACTTACTTGCCAGTAATCCAGTCAAAAATATAACTTGAAAGAATGATGAAGTCCTGCCCTAAACTTGGGCCCTTTAAATACTCACTTTGCAACAAATTACAAGTTTAACAAACTCATGGCTATTTAGTGCCTTTTCACAAGTTTTAGAATAGGATTTAAGATTTTAGCCTAGGCAGCACTCGGGAGGCAGAGGCAGGCAGATCTCTGTGAGTTCTAGACCAGCCTGGTCTACAGAGCTAGTTCCAGGACAGGCTCCAAAGCCACAGAGAAACCCTGTCTCGAAAAACCAAATTAAAAAAAAAAAAAAAAAAAAAAGATTTTTAGCCTAGGGAGACAAACGCACTTTTTAAAAAGATAAGTCATTTCTCTAAGGCTGAATGCTTTGAACAATCCAGGTCCTAAAAACAAGGCTGTCGAGAGGTAACTGGGGTTCCGAAAAGTACCGCTTTAATACGACAGAATGAAAGATCTCTTTGAACAGCGTAAGAACTTCACACACATACACACACACACACACACACACACACACACGGAGGGTTGTTGTGGGGCTTTAGTCTCCAAATGATGAACCCCCAAACACGATAAACAAGACTGTGAGCTGGAATCTGATTTGGTGGCCTGACAAACATTACAATCTAAGGAAATCCCACTCCCACCCCCACCCCATTCATCATTTCCTCACTAAAGTCCCAGAGGTTAGCAGCTCCCCGGTTTTTTACTGGTTCCTGGATTTACTGCCTGTAAATTACAATGCATAGAGCGCCTTTCAAAAGAAAAATTGCACGGGCAAATGAAAACAAGCGTGCCTTAAAGCCCCATAAAAGACTGTAGGCGAAACGAACTCGCCTGTGTTTACTACGAGTATCTAGGGCTGGCTCCCTCCTGCCACTCCAGGGGTCCCCGAGGCAAACGCGAGGCGCCCGGGCCGCGGCTGAGCAGGAGCGGGGCAGCGGGGTCCCACACCTGCCCGGCTCCGGTGCCCGCGCCCGGCTGCGCCGTCCGGCCTGAGCCCGGCCCCCGCCCTCGGCCCCGGCCTCCCGCCCCGGCCGGGCCGCGCACCGTGTGCGACTGCAGACTCTGGCTCGCCTCGACGGCCGCTGTCAGCGGCACCGTGTCGTCCAGCAGCACCTTGCCGGCCGGCGGCTTCTCCATGAAAGCCATCCCGGGACGCCGCTGCCTCTGAAGCCGGGGAAGGAACCGGAGGCGCCGAGCCCCGCCGCCCGTCCGCCCGCCCGCCGCGTCCCGCCGCCGCCGCTGCTGTCAACGCGCGCCGCCCCACGCGCCGCCGCCGCCCGCGGGGTCCTAACGCCGGTCGGCTCGGCTCGAGGGCTGTCAACACCCGTCCGCCCGACCACGCTGGGTCCTAGCGCTGTCTTGTACCGCACGGTAGGTGACTCTCCTAAGGCTGCTGTCAGAGGCCTCGTGTTGCTGTGTTGGCACCTCCTGGTCGCTGCATCGTACACCCATTACAATGAGCACCCCGCCTGGGACCCAGGAGCACAAAACTAAACCATCACCACCAGGAATCCTCAGATCTAGACGCTGTATCTAGAGCCCTGGAATCCAACAGACCTGAGCCTTTACAGATGAAACCTTCAAAAGCTCATATGGGCAGATTTGAGACCCTACTGCTCCCTATCACATCTTCCCTGCCCAGGGACCCTAGGGATCAGGAAATAACAACAACAACAACAAAATCACTTTCAGGGAGAACCCTCAGTCTGAGTATGTAGACCAAACTTTCTAAACCAAATCCTGATTCCGACTTTGAACTTGGATCCTTAGGAGAATCTGGGTGCTGCATGCACCCTTATAACTGGTTTAACTCCAAAACCCTCTAGCAACAAGCTCTAAGAAATTGGGAAGGAAAAAAAATAACAGATGCAAAGACTTCCCTGCTTCTATGCTTGGGACCTAGGCCAAAGGTCTTCAAATCCCAAGAGCCTTCAGATTTCTTAGACTCGGAAAGTCTAAGCATTCTGGCTCCAAGAACCTCAAACTTAGCCATCAAACTTGAAGATCCGCTTCTCAGTACCAAATCTACCGTGCTTATCTTAATCTAAGATCGCAGTTTTCCAAGACAATAATGGAATTAAACTTCAATCAGTTGATCAGGACCTTCAGGCATTTTCGTCAGCTATGTGACCCTGAATAAACCACTCACTTTTCCACCTGCAAAACTGAACCAATATCTATGTAGAAAGTCGTAGGAATGAACAGGATGGGAAAGTACTTTGCACATATTAAAAATTTCAAATATACATTACAATCTGACAATTCATAGAACAGGTTTCTAGCTCTTGTTTGTTTCCACTAACTTTCTTTCATTTCATCCATAGAAACAAAGTCGCTTTGTGAATCCACCACCACCGCAACTGACGTCACAGCAAAGGTCTCCATGGCACTTTAAGCTTAAAGAGGTTGTTGGGCAACCCCAAGCAGCCAAGTGATAAGGACAGACTGCCCTTAGGGAATGCTCAGGAGAGGGAGATAAGGGGGAATGCAACTTCTTAATTTAGCCCTAAATAAATGAGAACTCTTCCTATATCTCATTTCCATCTCAATGTGCTTTAAAGCAGCAATCTAGGAAAGCTAAACCGTGTGTTGCTTAAGAAGGATACCAACTCTTCTCCTCTGTTTGTTTCTTTTGTTTAATGACAATGAATGGGGTACTTCATTGTCAGAGTAGCAGAAACCCAAACCCTGCATTACTCCTGTCATGGTGGAGATTGACCAAGACAAGGCTAGACATGCTCATATCCTGCTGCTGTGTGCTGAATTCATTCTTAGGGAGGGCATTAATTCATGCATCAATTATTCACTGGGTACCTACCACAAAATAAGACGAGTGGTGGTGCTGGGTTTAATAATGCATATGAAGGGCTTGAAGATATCTCACCCTGAAACGAATTCTGTCTCAAAGAGGGTTCTACTAAGGGAGCAATGAGGGAGTGTTGAGAAGGACAGCATGCAAAGGATAAGCATCTAATCCCCAATAAGATCACACGAACCATGGTATAATCAGCCATTACTGCAAGGCTAAAACCCAGGTTGTTTGCTAGGGGTGTAGCTTAGTGATAGATAGAGAATTGATTTCCGCAAGACCCTGGGACCAATCATTAACACCAAAACCAGTCTAAGACTATCTAATGATGTTCAAGAATGTTCTTGACCTAATACGTGAAACGAGGAATACATCTCTCTGTAGATAGATACAGGAAAACCACCAGAGGGAAACAGACCAAAGTGCTTCCTGTAGGAAACAGAATCATATTTTTCAAAATGCATTTAATTACAATATTTTATATTTATGATTAGGTAGCAAAATATTATATAACCAGGCCCAGTGCTCTACCAAACCACAGATTTCAAAACATACATTTCCAAGGTTCAGAAGATGCCTCTCTGAATCTAGCAAATTGTACTTAGCTCCATTTCCAGTGTATCAGCACAAACAAAATGAGGCGGTTGTGCTACTGGAAGGCCTTGGATAGAAAGGATCCACAAATGAAAAACCAGAAAATGAGTGGAAGTTTTATTTTTGCTGGTTATGGTGCTGGGGTTCAAACCCGGGGCCTCACACAGGCTAGGCAGGTATTCTGCCACTGACCTGCATTCCCAGTCCAGACTTCCAATAATATAGATAGGAGGAAGGAAAGATGGTCACAGAGACAGTGACTGCAAGGCAGTCTGTATGAAGTACAGAGATTGAGGCACCAGACACCATGGGAGCATAAGAGATAAGAAGTAACGACAGCTAGTGGACTGTGGAGCAGCTCATGAAAGATGTGGGGTTTGAACAGTCTTTAAGAACCCAGTGTTTCGTGTACCCAGTGTTTCGTGTACCCAGTGTTTCGCATGCTAGCTACACTTTCAGCCCCATTTGTGCTTCTATCAGAAACCCGCTGAACTACTGAACAGACACCAGACACCAAATATTGAGTTTGGCATTGGAAAGTTAAGAAAAACAAGACGGATGCCACCTACTGTCAAACTTTGGAGGCTCATAAACTAGAAACAAATATGACGTGAAGTCACAGGTTAGGCCAGGGATCCACACTGCTTGAAGCAGTAAGAGACCAGGATGTGTGATGAAATGGGCAGGAGGTGCTAGCAGAGAGGAGAAGTTCTTCACAACCTACTTAGACATTCTCAGGGCAACAGGTGGTTCAGGCTTGAAAACCTCAGGGACTCACGCAGACTGCGAGGCCACCAACAGACACTTTCTTGTGTGGACTTCAGTACTTCAAGGAGGGAAGGGTGAATACTGAGTGGGTAAAGGCATTGTGGGAGGGAGCAGGACATGGGTATGGAGCGAAAAATTCTGGTTTGGAGGAAGACTGCCATGAGAGAGAAAAGAGAATTTGAGTTAGACTCAAAAACTAAGCAAAACCTACCTGCCCTCACAAATCTGAGGAAGAGCCGGGGTGCGGCCTTGGTGACCCAGGCCTTTAATTCCAGCACTCAGTGGGAGGCAGAGGCAGACAGATCTCTGAGGCCAGCTTGGTCTACAGTGTGAGTTCCAGAACAGGCAAGGCTCCAAAGCTACAGAGAAATCCTGCCTCGAAAAACCAAAAATAAACAAACAAATAAATAAAAATAAACAAATCCGAGGAAGAAATCAGAGTGCTGGTCATGGTTACAGGTTCACGTTCTGAGTTAACTCCTTAGATTTCACCAGCTCAAAAGGTACCCAGCTGTCTGACTTCATTTTGCTTCAGCTTCCTCAGCTGTGGAATGGGGACTGGGACAGCCTCAGCAGGCAGGATGACTGGGTGCCCTGAACTGTGCTAATGTTGGTGTACCTAAAAGAAGGTTGAGACAAACTGCAGGTTACAAGCCTTTCCTGGGAACAAAGAATCTGAATGTTTTTCTCTCCAGAAGGGAAGGGACTGAAAAGGAATCAGAACTGAACACCGGGACTGCACATGTCACGGAATGTGACTTGCCTGTCTTCTTTACCAGGAAAGAGAAACTGAAAGCCAGAAATATTTGATGGAAGCCAGGGACAGGCTCAGTGTTTCCTTATCCTTCTGTGATTCTCTCTGGCAGCCCAAGCTTACTTCTTTCCTACCACCTCAGTGAGTTCCTTGTCAGCAACCCCAAGTATCCTGAGACACCAGACCAAACTCCAACCCCAAGACCACCTCAATATTCACCTGGTTTTTTGTTTGTTTGTTTGTTTTTGTTTGTTTGGTTTTGGTTTTTTGTTTTTCCGAGACAGGGTTTCTCTGTGGCTTTGGAGCCTGTCCTGGAACCAGCTCTTGTAGCCCAGGCTGGTCTCGAACTTAGAGATCTGCCTGCCTCTGCCTCCTGAGTTGCTGGGATTAAAGGCATGCGCCACCACTGCCCGGCTGCTTTTCTTTCAATTCTTTTTTTTTAAATTTGGCTACAAGACCCGGTGGTCTTTCTCCCTGAGCCCCCGAGTGGCTGACTACAGATGCAGGCTTTTGTGCCTGGCTCTGTCTGGTATTTGCAATGGCACAGAATGACTATGGGGAAGCTCTTTCCAGGTCAGAGCTGATCTAATTCAAATCAGACTTGCTTTTCTAGTCTTGGGCTGAATAAACTAATAAGGAATGAGAAAATGTCATGGTGTTGCTTTTTGCATACATACAACTACTTGCAGGCTAGCAGAAGAAAAGAAGATTTTTATATTCTGTTGTTGCCAAATATTTAGACAGCTCATGGGTTGTTTGTTTAACAACCTGAGGTTTGGCCAGATTGATTGAACATAATGGATTTTAGTGAGGAAATTCCTAAGCCTGACAACTGCTATACAAACCAGAACACACAAGTTTCAATATTTCCTAAGCAGAGTGGTCTTACAACTAAAAATGGCTTCATTTCTTTAAATATTCATAGTCTGGCCAGGCAGTGGTGGCTCACGCCTTTAATCCCAGTACTCAGGAGGCAGAGGCAGGAGGATCTCTGAGTTCGAGGCCCACCTGGTCTACATAGTGAGTTCCAGAACAGCAGGACTGTTTCACAGAGAAACCCTGTCTCAAAAAAAATAAAAAATAAATAAATAAAAATTTATGGTGAGGACACTAAACAAAATTTAACTCATAGCTGTTCATTCTGCTCCAATTCCAAATTTCTCTGAAGATGCGGTGAATCCTGCTCTTTGCAATCCAAACGAAAGCAGAGAATAAAGAACAAAGCACCCAAGATAGTACCACATAAAGCCAGCCATGCAACCCAGGCAGTAACTGGACAGCACCCCGATTCTGCTGACCTGGAATAGTCAATCAACTATGCCAGCAA